GCGAAGATTTTCGAGTGATCTATAAGTTCCCGTCCAGCTACCCTAAGCTACTGGGCCAGCGTCTGTAAGCAAGAGCAGGTTACGCAATCCAGTCTTGTGCGCGCAGAAGATCTTCGTTCAGGCTCCGTGTCTACCGTGGTCAGAGATCGACTAACTGCATACGAACCTCCGCTTCCTTCTGCTCTCACCCCGTCCCTGGCACTGACTCTTTTTGCCACCCACCTCACATCCCACCTGTGTTTTCAGACGACCTTTAATGGATTTCTCTAATCACTGACATGTCCTACTTCGCTCTGTTTCCAAAAAAATATACTGGCCTGACGAGACGTTATCGGAAACAAACGTCTGCTCGCCAACAAGTCTTCTAAATAGTGACATGGTGAAGCTTCCCAGCTCTAAATCCTATCCGTTTGGTTGTCCGTTGAGAGCTTTCTCAATCACCTTCGTCGACCGTAGTAATGAAGGAAACGCCGCCTGCCTATTATACACCTCTTCTACTTGTCATTAGATGAATTATAACAGCTCATTTGACTTAGAGGGAATTCCATCTGTTTAAAACATAATATTCTAGATATAATTTAATTAAGTCAAAGGTTAAATAGCAAGAACGTTTGTTCAGCGACAGTTCGCATGCAACCGTGCTTCCGATAGAGAATTGGCAACAGTCCTGCGAAGACCTCCGGATGCGTTTCACACACCATAAGAAGACTTGATTGGTCCTGCAAGCAAAAAGAAGTAATTCAAGCAACTCTCAAGAAACCGACAACTTAAACGAGGTTTCAACGAAAAGATATTAGGCGAGATGACCCTGGACAATGGTTAGGCCGGTAACGCTGGTTTGACTCCCAAGCGTTTAGGGTGAACAAGGTCCTCACTTTGTTCCAAACAAAATAGAACTAAATAGATTAGGCCTTTGGAAGATAACCCCTGTGTGTTGATTTATTGAGGTTGTCATAAGTAAAACCTACAGAATGGAATGCTCACAACATATTTCGCACTCCGCGTTTCAGACTGTGATCGACTGTTTGTGAGGATATTCGCTCTAATTGTTACCATCCTCTCTAAAATATCTAGGAATCTGTTGCGCAGCCCGCTTTGCCGGACGGCAGTAGGGTCTTCAGTGAAAAACTTTGCATAAGTGAATCCTCGCCAGAGGCTCTAATATAACTGAGGGCACGGTTAGCACATTTTAGGCATTAGCAGGCCGGTGCTTCGAAGTGTGGGCCACAAGTCGGTCTCCTGGACTGAACGTACTTGGTCTCTGGCAGCATACTTAAACTCGAATTGGACAACGATTTTGAGGAAAACACAAAATGGGAAGGATGGTGGGACTGTTAGGTGGATCGCCTTCTGAACAGCTAACAAAAACTTTAAAAATGACAAGGTTCGTGTTCTCGGCTGTTGCCTTTGTTAGGAGAGCGGTTTAAAATATCTCCAACTCAGAAGTTACTGGATATCAGTAATCGTTTGTCGCGATGGAAACATTTATAATATAAAACATTATTTCTACTAATAAGAATAATCCTTACTCCGTTTTAATTCAAAAGACAATGGTCTTAAACCCGTTCCTCTCTTCCGGGCCCCATTGTTGGATTCATAACTTATAAAAAGGGCTTTGATTGGGAGATCTGGCATATCTTGCTTTCTCAATCCTATTAACTTTCACCAAAACCAAGAGTCAGCGCCTGTCCATCGACTGGGCCAGCGTTATATCGTTTGATGTTATGATTAGCATAGGAAGCCATCGGAAAACGTTAGAAAGGAGGGAAGAGCCATTGTGGTCCTCATAGTAGGAATCTTTGCTCTAGAAGGGAAGTTCACCCCAAACAGAACCGTCTTATTACCGAAGTTCAAGACTAATGAACAAAAAATCTCTTCCCAATAACATGTAGTTAAGACACAAGCTTGCACGGAACAAAACACAGATTCGTGGATTAAGACAAACATAGAATTAGGTAAAACATAAAACAACCACCTTTCCTTACAAATGCTGCTTTGTGACGTGTTTTCTTTCACTTGAAAAGCATACCTTGTTCCTGACCAGTTGGGTTCAGACAAAATATCTTTATTTATGCGCAGGACAGGCCTACTTTAGCGGAAAAGTAGGCATTTTGTTTCTTATTTAGCTTGTAGTAACGCATTCCCATTGGACTGAAAGCACTTTTACTGCGGCCCATCGCCGTAGCGAAAGCATTCAGGTCCTCCTAACCACACTCATCTGAGTTAATGTGCTTCCTCAGTCTTCCTAATCATTAATACGTCCAGTCAGCTGATTGGTTACCCGGTGGCATTACCCTCGCAATGCAGCGGCCTGCACTCGTCACACGCCTGCCAGAACTCGCTACTAACATGCTCTTGCACATTTCATTCAGAAAAATCGGTTTAGTTACTAGCCACTCTTCCCAGTCTGAATTAGGGGACTCGGTACATCCCGTGGGTTTGTTAAATTTCTGACCTCTCAGGTGCATATCTAAATGCTCCGTCAAGGTGAAGTCCTGCAGGATTTCAAAGACGCCACAATCGTGCATCTATACAAGCGGAAAGGAAACCGCCAAACCTGCAACAATCGCCAAGGTATCTCTTTGCTGATCATCGTCGAAAAAATCTTCGCTCGCATCCTTCTAAACCGTCTGAACAACCACCCAGAATAAGGTCTTCTGCCCGAAAGTCAGTGCGGCTTTCGTCGTCATCGCTGGACCACGGACATGATCATCGCCGACCCTCAACTTCAGGAGAAGTGCCAGGAGGTGCGGACCCACCTATACTCTACCTTCGTGGATCTGACGAAAGCCCTCGACACGGTGAATCGTGGCGGATTGTGGAAGATCATGCAGAAATTCGGCTGCCCAGAGCGACTCACTCAGATGGTTTGCCAGCTCCACGATGGTATGATGGCGCGCGTCACGGACGACGAAGTTGTCTCTGACGCATTAGCAGTGTCCAGCGGAATGAACCAGGGATGCGTCCTGTCACCCACCCTCTTCAGTCTTATGTTCTCTGCCATGCTGGACGCTTACCGTGACGAACGCCCTGGGATTCGCATCGCCTACAGGACAAATGGCCACCTCCTCAACCACAAGCCGATGCACTTCCAGTCGCGTGTATCCACAACCACCGTCCACGAACTCCTCTTTGTCGACGATTACGTCTCCAAAACCACCTCGGAAATGGACATGCAAAGGAGCATGGATCTCTTTGCTGTGGCCTGCGAGAACTTCGGCCTGGTAATTAATACGGAGAAGACGGTGGTCATGCACCAACCGCCATCCAACACAGCCCACAAAGTGCCGCAATTCAGCGTGAACGAAACCCAAATGCAAGTGGTGGACAAATTCCCGTACCTCGGCAGAATCCTCTCCCGACGACGAAATCGCCTGCAGGATTTCTAAGGCCAGTCAAGCCCTCGGCCGCCTCCAAAGCACAGTTTGGTCTCGTCATGGTCTCCAGCTCAATAGCGAACTAAAGATGTACAAGGCAGCCAACCTGCCGACGTTGCCCTATGGTGCGGAGACTTGGACGGTGTATAACCAACAGGCACGGAGACTCAACCACCTCCACCTTAGCTGTCTTCGACGGATACTGAAGCTGAGTTGGCAGGACCGAATCCTGGACACTGACGTACTGGAGCGGACGGGAATCCTCAGCATCTACGTCATGCTGAGACAACTGCAACTGCGTTGGAGCGACCACCTCGTGCGGATGGACGACGAGCGACTACCCAAACGACTCTTCTATGGAGATGGCGTCAGAGGTTGCATCCGCCAAGGAAGCCCAATTCGCCGATACAAGGACACTCTAAAGACCTCTCTGAAACGTCTGCCGATCAACTTGGCCGACTGGGAAAACCTCGCTCGAAACCGACCGACCTGAAGGAAGATAGTGAAGACAGGCGCTGCGATCTATGAAGCCAACCGCGTCGTCGCCGTGAAAGCCAAACGAGAAGCACGCAAATCTCAGCTGCGCCCACCTCGCAACGCCAACGCCCCACCGCCCCCACGTGTCTACGGTGTCAGCGGGCATCCCGGGCGCTAAATGGACTTGTTGGACACCTTCGAACCAACTTCAGCACTCGGACTGCACCAACCGCCGTCTCGCCATTCACCTTTCCCTCGCCTCCTACGCCGACAACTAACTCTGACCGCCCTCCCGAACCACCATTTCCATCCTCCTCTTATCCCACTGCCTCAAAGCCTGCCGCGCACATCAACACTGCACACAATTCTGACTCATCCTCAACCATCAACATCACCACCGCCGATACCATTGGTGAGGACCCGGTCTATACCTATCCTCATTGCGACCGCACCTTAACCCCACGCATCGGCCTGATCGGTCACTTGCGAATCCAGCGCACAAAGACCGACGACCCAGTGCCTGGAGCACCAACTTACGTTCGCCGCATCCGCCTCCACTTTCCACATTGAGCCCGCACATTTATTCACCGCATGAATCTATTTGGCTACATGCGCGTCCACGAAAACCTGCAGTAGACAGCCTCCGGCTGAACCACACCATCACATCCCCCCTCACCACCATCTCCTCGCACATCAGCACCACCCTCCGCAAGCATCCAATTGTCACCTCCCACACAAGTGGGAAGTGTGGGTCTCGACTCATTCTCCGTGCGGCTCCTGCTGCACCGGTGACTGGAGCCTGAAACTATCCCGACGAGTCCAGCGCCGTGGATAGGACGGCTACTGATTGACGCCCCAACTCTGTCCACGCAGTCCGTCCAGTTGTGTGTGTATGTTTGTGTGGAGTGGCGGACTGGTGGGCTGGGGGCCGGGCCGACAGAGCTCCTTCCACGGAATTCTCATGCAAGTGAGAGATACGCCGCTCAACCCACGTTGTGTGAAATCCTGGCGCTTGCGTTAGGGGGGCCAGGTCGTGCATGTGACGCGCGCAGACAAGGTCATTAGGCCATGTCAGCCACCGCGCCCATTCTCCGCATCAGGCAACTGACCGGTTCGGACAACGACTGAGGGCTGGGAATGGGAAGGAAGAGTGAGGTCGACGACTCAGCGAATTTCATTCCCCACTATAAACAATCTGACGCGCCTGAAGCTATCACGGTACGCTAAAAGCCGTGGCTTGGAAGGTTGCTAACTGATGGCATAACTTGGACCTCACAGTCGGCCCAGTGTTGTGCACTTGTATGGAGGGGTCGGCTGGTGGTCTGAGAGTCAGGCTACAACGGCTCGTTCTTAATGTGGCCTTCATAGCTCTCCCGCTTGGTGTGATCCGAGCCGGGCGTGGCGGCACGCCCACGTGCGGCTTCGGCCGTGCCAGCCTCCAATCTCTGTTGTTGCTGGTCAAAAACCTGATGATTTGCTGTGTGGACTAGGGGGTGTGGAATGGAACGTCAAGATGCGGGCTCGACCGTGCAATCCACCTGCGTCCTCCCCAGTTATTGTCTCTATTTCCCAATTGAAGCGGCTGTACTGCATGTTAGACCTATATGCATTTGTATTATGAATACAAATAGTGCTCCATTTCATTCAGAGATGTAGGCCAGCCATGCGTTCGAAAATTAGAGGTTACCCAGTGAAAACGGCAGCGTTGCCCTACCACTTTTAAGTCGAAATCCATAGGTCTTCAGTCAGGGAGTTGTTATTAAACAAATAAAGGAAAAAAAATATGGAATAAGGCAAACAAATAAAGAGTTCACGTTGCGAATCCGAAACTTAGTTACTAAAAATAAGATACGCTTAAAGACTATGTTGTAGACTTCAGAGCACAGAAAAAGTTTTGTCGACAGCCAATTCAGTTCTGGTGACCATATTAAGCATCGGAACAGGAGAAGGCCTGATGGACAGGACAGATTATTCATCGAAAGCAAATCTGTGATAGCAGATGCGAACACATTTACAAATGCCAGCGCCGTGGACAAACTCACGGGCGAAATCGGATATAATTATCTTGATACCTAAAAACTTATTCACGATCGAAAGCGACTTCGAAAGTCCGAAATTCCATTTGAATAAACACCATTCTCCAAGTGGATATTTTGGCGCGTTCTTCTGTAAACACGAGAACATCCTCCTATCTCCCAATGAGCGAGCGATGCAGCACTGGGGAACAAATTCCCCAAACTGCCTGACCCGACGTCATCCAGAGAGGGCGCACTGTGACACAACCTGTCGTCAAAGGAACTGACGAAGGAGCGGGTATAGGTTTTACGGCGCGAAACCTCATTCAACACAGCTGATGCCAAACATATCAACATGATTGCAGCAGTGGAATCGGTCATTAATCAGACGGAAGCGACGGAGGAGACGAAGAACCTTATCCGACACCGAGTGTCGTCCCTCCTTATGACTCACAAGCAGCGCGAAATACTCCCAGAGGTCGAACGCGATGCACTAAGGGAACTCAAGGCTGACAAGGATATCGTTATCATTCGCGCGGACAAGTGACGTTCCACCGTCGTATTGGACGGAACAGACTACCTTCGGAAGGCCAAAAACCCACAGGAGGATCGCCAGTTTTATGTCCCATGTGAAACCAACCCCGTAAAAACGCTGATACGCGAAATTACTGCGACACTGTTGGCACTGGAGAACTCGGGTGCAATAACATCGACCGACGGACGCATGGCGAGAGCCCAAGAAACGGCATTGGTCCGGTTCTATGCTCTCCCCTAGGTGTACAAAGAGAGCGCTCTTCTCCGGCCTAGCATATCGCTCAAAATCACTCCAACTAACGGACTGACAAATGGCTGTTTTGACGTCTCACATTTCTGACCGCTGATTCGAGCACCACAGTCTGTTCGTCAACACAATTCTTGGAGAAGCTCAAAAGGGTAAGTCTCTTGCCAGATGAGGTCGTGACATCTTTTGATGTCACGTCCCTCTTTACTTCTATCCCGTCGAGCTACTCCTACAAAGCACATACGATGAAACGGAGAATCATCTCGGACATGCCCAAGTCCTTCAGCTTCTAAAGTTCTGTCTCAGGACGTACTTCACGCTTGATGGAACAATCTACAAGCGGGTGAGGGAAACACCAATGGGTTCGCCGATTTCGGTATTCATCGCCGAGACGGTCCTATACCGGCTAGAGTCGCTGGTCTTTCAACACTGCAGACCGAAATTCTGGGCTCAGTATACGGACGATACGTTCGTCGTTACCGAACGGGATTAGGTGCTAACGTCCAATACCGTATATCCGACATACGATTTACGATGGAGGAGAAAGAAAATAACCAGCTGGCATTCCTTGATGTTCTCGTCTGTCGCGAAGATTGTGGTAGACTAAAGACCAAATTGTTCAGGAAAAAGACGGACAAGGCGCTAATACTGAACTTCAACAGCAAGCACTCAAGCAGTCATAAATGCAGCTGCGTAAGAACGCTATATGGTGTGTTGAGACGCACTGCAGTGAACCAGAATACAAGGTTGCCGAATCCCTATAACTTTGACGGGTTTTCAGAGAAAATTCGTCAACCAGTGTCCGCATAAACGAGACGAGCGTCAAAATCTACCGACCCCAAATTCTGACGAGGGCTCACGTACATCAGGAACGTCTCCGAGGCCGTTAGTCGCCTTCTCGCACCACTTGGGGTTGGAGTTGCACACAGACCGAAGGCCACCATGAGGCGTCAGACGGAGAACAAAAGACCTACTGCCACTGCAAGAAACATCTGGAGTTGTTAACCGGATATGGTACAGTTGTGGACAAAGCAGATACGCCGGAGAAACTGAAAGACTGCTCCGGAGACGAATTACCGAACACTTGGCAGCGGTACGGAGCAATGCCGTCAACTCTCAGGTCGCGGCCCATTCGAAAAGAGCCGGCCACACAGTCAACTTCGATAAGGCTGAAATTCTCGCAAGAGGGAATAGTCGCGTGAACCACGAGTTGCTTGAGTCATGGGTCACGGGACTTCAAGCTATCAACAAGTGCAACGACATCCCCACTCCATATTCCGTGCTGAGGCATAGTCTGGCCAGAGTAATTAACCACTCGGGGGTTCGCAGGCCGGTGAGCCAGATGACCGAGCAACCATCACACCATCATCCAACACGGATGATTAAATTTCGGCAATTAACAACTTGCATGCCGGCCGTCAAGCAACTAGCGTACCAGTGGGCAACAATTCTGGATTACGAGGAGCGCGGTTAATCACTAGAGCATGGCAACTACATCCTATAAATACTGCAACTTCCTGTGCACGAGTCAGCCTTTTCTGTCACTGTCTCCGATGATGGGTTCGAGTGAGAATCCGAAACGTCAGGTGAGTAAAGCCTTTGTTTCAACGATCGCTTCTTTTTCTTTTTCATCATCATCATCATCATCATCCTATTATTATTATTAACTAGTTCCTGGAATTCGCATCTTTGCTTGTATCGATAATTACAGGGTTATTTACAACGAGATGCATTTCGACCAGGTACCAGTTAACACCGCATAAATGATGCGATGGTTTAGATGTAACTTTGTGTTTAATGCACTCAATTCTTCAAATAATTATTGTCGCCACCGAATCAGACAGCGGAGGGCAGGAAAAAGTCATGTATGCGAATTCTTATAAAACGCTAAGAATCAGGCAGTAATTGTAATAATTCTGCTAAAGAAGTTGGTGCATGGACGCCCATTGAATATGCGTCTTCCTTGTGTTGGCCAGCATGGGGAAGATGCACAAATGTAGCATCCGGATGTTAACCTACAAGTTCACGACTAGATTGGTAGATAGTGTCTCCCTGATTTATAACCTTAAAATCACTGCTTATTATGTGAAATGGGATCACGGTTGTTTTAGGGTTTAGAAAATTTCCATGACAGTATTCAGAAGACTGTTTGGCGATCAGGGTGTTGGTAGTACCCACTTGTAAATCCACGTAAAGGTCGTGGGGGGTCGCTCACCTGCT